AGCTCCACCCAACCTCTGACAACAATAGCTCAACAGGGACCAACCCACAAACCGGTCCAGATCCCGACCTGAATAAAGTTCGTGTTTTTGCTAATGCAGCCTGGAAACCTGAGATGCGCAACGCCGGGCTGGGTTGGGTGATTCGAGACCAGAGACACGAAATCATTGACAAAGGAAACAAACAGGAGACACAGATCCGATCCCTCTCATGGCAGAAGCTTTGGCAGTCAAAGAAGCCATCTCTCAAGCAACGAATCGACATCATAGGAACTTCGTGATGGCTTGACTCCAAACAACTTATCTCCCTTATCAATTCCAACACTTTCCAGCTTGAAATCTATGGAATCATCCAAGATATCATCAAGCTTGCTATCGATCTAAACATCTCTTTCATATATGTCCCTAGATCGGAAAACTCTGAGGCTGATTTTTTAGCCAAATCAATACCGGTTTGAATCCGGTTTAATGAAATCAACTATCTCTTTTCGACCCAAAAAAAAAAAAAAAACTTTAAACTATGATCAATAGATATAGTCTTTTCACAGCGAAGCAACTATGTTTCTTTCACCTACATATCTAGTATCTTCCATCTTTTTGATCGAAGATAATCGGTTTTTGATTTTGTGATATTATTTTATTATGCTAGACTTTACGCTTGTTCATTTGGGATTGAGTCACCGGACCGACTTTTTGTATTTGATTTGTTTTACCAAATTTCATGTATAATATAAAAAAAAGAACAGTAAATTATCTAACATAACGTTATTTATAAAATTTGATATTTTTTTAAGAATTATCCAATATTTTTTAAAAATATCTAAAATTTAAAAATACTAATAATATTTGCAATACTCAAACACGAATATGTTCTTTAGCCATGATGATTTAATCACCCGAATTACTCGTATCATATTTCTTACTCAGACAACAATATTTGATACTTCAAATATCATCACCAGATCCTTATCCTGTCTCCCCGATCATCTACCAGTTTATCCGAAATGGCGACTATCAATTTGGTCAGTTTTTAAGAAATTTCCAACATAAGAGTCATAGTCAATTAATAAAGGACTAAAATTGATTACTTGTATGTTTGAAATTTCCTTAGGTTGAGAGTAACTGATTTTGAGGCTTCGCAAAACAAAAAATGATACATTTGACTTTTCTTCCACTTAATAGAAACATAAAAAACGTGAAGGACTTCTTCACCAACCTGATGAGGTCGCCTGCTGAGACCACTTGGAGTCCTTTCAGCTACCACCATTATTGACTCCATGCATATTATTCACGTTCTCACTATAATAATTCACTAATTTGGTAGGTACCTTTTTTTTACGTTCGCTTACAATTCCAC